AATGTACTTTTTGGAATCATGCCTTTTTACAGCTAATAGCACTAAAGAATCCATTGTGGATGCTCTAAGGGGCACTTTGGTTAAAGGAAAAGAAAATGTGGGTTCCTTCAAAATTTTCAATGGAAACTTCTTAATTTTTTAGCACAATAATTTTGGGTAATTACTATTTACACACCATTACTTATCTTAAGTATACACACATTTACTCAGTTCACACCATACACAAATTAAAACTTTCAATTTTGTCTCAATACACACAATAATTTTCAGATAATACTAAACTACCCTCATCTTCTCCAACAGAATCCTAACCCTAACAAATGCTTACTCCCATAACAATTTAAGCCTGGCATGTCATATTACATTAGATTATAGTCATCAAAGTGCAGATCGAATCAAAAAAGTCATCTCCACAAAGTAAAATACAAGAACAAAATAAAATAAATTTATCGCTTAAATGTAAATGTAGCAGTAAAGGCACTAGCAAATAACAGAATGGAATGTAATTCTATCGAGCCAAGTAAAACTAATACTACTATATATTAATTCATCTTAATTTTCTGCAAACATTCAAAAATAATCCGTGGGAGCATTTCACAAAAAAGTTCACTAAAAATATAAATGCAAAAACCTGGAAGAAACAAAAATGATGCATAACTAATCAAAAAGTTCAAATTTCTTTGTAAAAGTTGACTAAAATTCATCAGCAATTTTAAAAGTCTGCAAAAGCATTCATCCGATATGTCGTGTTGATTTCCAATAAAATTGTAAGACAAAGGCATCTCTGAATAATGCTGGAATAACACACCTGAAAAAGAAAAAGAAAAGAAAAGAAAAATTGTGAAATGTAGTCACTATCAATGTATGCCTCCTAAATATATTTGTCTAACATATCCAGTAACACATGGATAAGTCTAATTTAATCCAGTGATGATGATCGAGCGAGGGAAGGAGGTGGACACCCAAAATTTTTTATTTAATTTCAATACTGTGATTATATCAATTACTCATGAGTAATGAAATATATATATATATATATATATATATATAATATAAAAAATATGATTAATAAATAAATAGAATTCCTTATTATGTCAAAAAAAGTGCATAGTGGAAGCTTGTGAGTTATAAAGTTAGAAATTAAAAGATTACATTATTCAAAGGGATAGAGTGTGGGACACCGCACCTTGAGAATATTAAATATTTTAATAAGCGGTCAGTGACAGTTTATAGTTTGGTAGTGAGATTTTTAAATGTAAACCTAACTTATAATCATACATAATTTTAGAGATTTTTGTGAATTGGCAAATAGGGTGATAACCCCTAGAGTTATACGAAGCCAAATTTAATTGACGTAGCCAAATTTAATTGAGGTATGGGTCGAAGGGCAAGGACAGGTGGCATCACTTCTCAGTAGAAACGTGGCCTCACTTCTCAGTAGAAACGTGGCCGTAAATAAGAGTGGGAGCGACGTGGTAGCAAATGACCTTAGGACTTTTTTTTTTTTTTTTTAGCCTATTAATAGTGAGGTACCAGTGGAGTGGTAAGCAAGAAATTGGAGCTTGTAACTTGTGAGATACCAGTGAGCTTCGAAAAGAAAGGATGTAAATCAACAGCGTGATAGTAGCTAAGAGTTTGTAGTAGGATCGTTGTAAATTATACATATGATATTGCGATGATTAAATTCATAAAATTTGGTTCAAAAAAAAAAACAAAAACAAAAATAAAAAAAATTCCACTAACCATTTTCATCTTGTAGTAATGGTTAATGATGGAAATGGAACCAAATCGTCGGTTGTGTTTTTTTTTTTAATTTTTTTTGTTACTATTTGTATTTTTGATCGGACTCTTATAATAAAATATAACCCAAATGACTATTTTTCCTCTTTTTTTTTAGCAGAATATTCATGTTCGAATAAATAATAAATGAAAAAACAAATTGATAACTCTCCCTTCTACTAAACTTTTGGTACCCATTTATGTTATTTTAATTTATTTAATTTATCCGATTGCACTACTATTACAAAAATTTTAGAATTGTTTTATTTTATTATCTTGTTGCGACATCGAACCTTTGGTTACCAGGTTTAGGTCGTGACAGGAGGTGGCTGCTGGTGATCAGGAATGGCAAAAGTTAGGGTTGAGTTGGGAGGGAGGGAGAAGGGAGAGAGGGAGGGGTGTGTTGGTAATTTGATTGAAGGATAGAAATGTAATAAGAAAATTTAGAGAAAAGATGTGTACTAAGTTAATCAAGTGTGTGAAAATAAAATTTCCCCACAATTTTATATGAATAGGATACATAGCAAGTTATTGTTGATCTTCATTTATATATATATATGTATATATATAAAAAAAAAAAATTTAAAAAAAGGAAGAAAAACAAGAGAGAGAAAGGAAGGGCTAAGTGAGTCCTTGGCAGTTTTATTTTTGATTAGGGACAATTAAGTGCTAACTCTGAATTTGCTTCCAATTCAACACCATTCATCACCTTTGCAAGGAGTATGATGTGAGCTATATTTCAAGGTCCACAGGGCACACAAGAAGTAGACCTATTACGATGAATTATTAGAAACATTAAAACCAATTACTAAACACTCACAAACATCTGAATCTCACACTGTGCTTACACAGGCTCTCACATTGTGCCCATAATTTATAGTGCGAGACCCACATATCAGTGAGTGTTTAATGGTTAGTTTCTGTGTCAACAACATTGTTGTCACAAAAAGAAGACAATAGACTGAACCCTTGTCCTAAACACATGGGCATGGGCATGGGCATGGGCTTCTAGCAATGTATGTTGGCTGAACCTAGTCATGATAAATCAAAGTTGGTAATCATGCCATGCAAATTCAATGTACTCAAATTATTCAGACATATTGAACTTAATTGAATTGGCCTTTCTTATTGTCTTTGTATTAGGGCCAATGGAAGGAGTAATCTTTTTGGAACACTACATTGGTTGTGTACTTGCCTAATAGCAAAATATT